GCTTTAGAGTCATTCTGTGGAGTCTAACTCTTGAGCAATGGCAAAGACAGCTTCCACCAACTTTCTTTCTTCCATGTGTGCATAGTCACACATCTCTTTCATGCCTCTTCTGCCCATGTTGAGAAATACACAGTACAGCCACATATGGACTATGATGCTCCAGTGACTGCTGTGGGTCTGTATGTTACTGGGTTTGTTTGTTTAGTGTGAAGCACGATTCACCCTCACCATGTAACTTCTTTGTCTCTTTTAGCTTTTATAAATCTTGCTGTTTCCTTTAAGTCTCATTTCCCAGGGGTCACTCATGAGTCCACATACTTTAGGGGTCACCCTATGATTGGTGAGAGTGTGGGCTCTAACTCTTTCAGCCAGTTGGTCTTCCCTTTTCCAGTGGATCTTCCCTTGGGTTGGGGAATTTATTACAGGTTCAGAAAATTTGGGAGTTTGTCCTAACTTGTGCTTTCTGATCCACATTTTGAAATATCCTCTTGGTTGTGCACAATTCTCATATTCCCCTGGAGATCTGAAGAAAGCAAAGGGTGGTCATTTCCGGTATCTTTGGATCATGCATGCACTCTTGAACCTGTATGCTTCTTTCCAGACTTCTAGAAACATGTGGGAACTAATCAAGGCCCCAAAGACCAACTTAGTCACAGAAGCTGCCTCTGGACTTCTGTAGGTTTGTTGCCTGCCCCTCTAACCTTATACCCTTAGGTGTAAGAACCATAGCAGAAGTATGGTAGATGCTCAGAAGGGCTTTGGAAGCCTACTGGGTGGTGTAGTGTGAGTGTGCTACTTAAACTTTAGCTCATGTCTGCCTAATGTGTTGAGAACAGGGAGAGAAAGACACCAAGTCACCCAGACTTAACCTGAGATGCTGTCTTTCTGAAAATGATGGCTGACAGCACATAGGAACCTGAACCTTCGATAAATTGGTGGAAGAATGAGCTTTGACACTTTTTACTGAGGTTGTCTGAGAACTGCAGAAGCAGGCCACTGTGGGTGGACTCTGTCAATATCAGGTGATAAATTTTCTGAACTCACTCTTTAAATGTAAAAATGATGCAGCTCTTACTAGACCATATGATGAACCTCAAGGGATGAGCACTTTCAGGATTTTCTTTTGTCTAGCTTCCCCAGAAAAGACATAGTTAAAAAAAAGAAGTAGATTTTAATAAACTTTGGGAAGTTTTGTTGTGAAATACATATGAGGTGCATGCTTTTCAATTCCTCAGATGCTAGATACTCCCTTTCTTTACTGGGACTTTGCATGTATTGCTTTTCTCTTTTCCAGGTTAACTCCTTGTGTTCCTTTAGAACCCAGGTCTGTAATCAAGTTCTGAGACTCCTTTGAGAGCATCTTGACCTATGTGTATCATTTGTTGCAGTAGCTATATCTACTTGTAAATTTAACACTTATTCCAATGTATTTATATATTAATTTATATAGTCTTTTTTTAAGTATGGCAAATTCCAGAAGAACAAGAATATTCCCATCCCCACTCTTAGTTTGAGGTGCCTCTGGATTTTCAATTATTAGGAAAATGTTTACAATAAAATAAATGGTCAATAAGTAGTATTTATTTAATGATTGGAAGAGTGACAAAATGACTGGACTTCAAGATATTTGATTATTTAAAGCAGATGCTAATATTATTAAGTTAAAATACAATTTGAAGATGGGAAATTTATAGATGTCTTGGTGTGATCATTCTCTGGTACATTCTATGATGAATCTCATTTAGGATTTAGAGAGCTTTTAAAATACCATTTGACCACATTGTTTTGTATTAAAGATACTTCAATTTTTAAAAAAAATACAATCCCTCAGTGCAGCATGCACAATCTTTCATAATTAGAGTTTATCAACTTCTCCTGTCTTGGCTCATTTACTTGTTCTCAAAGCTCTAATATCTACTTCAAAGCTATAATAAACTCTTACACATCATGCTTCTGTTTTAACACCAGCTGTCTAATAATTTTACCGAGTGGTATGGCGTATCCTCCATCACTGTTTAACAGTCCTGTATCTAGGCTCCTATACCAGTCAGAGATGTACTCTTCCCGGTGACACCCCCAGTGAACCTTCTTTTCCAGTCTGGCTTCACCTCCAAACAGCAAGTCAGCTATAAACTCAACAGTGGAGGAATCCATTGATGAGTGTGGCAACCCCTTGAACCAATCCCTTCCAAACACATGAAAATTCTAGAAGACATTTTAGACCTGAAACATAACAGACCCTATGCTTTAATTTTAGCAGATAAAATTTACAATAAATATGTTAAATCCACCTGATCTTCCTGTACAAATAGGAAGTTATCATCCAAAGTGAGCCCCACTCTCTCTGGGCTCAAGATGCATCTGATCTTTCAGTTTCTAGCAAGAACAAAAGAGGTTCTGTTGGTAGTAAAATTGTCACGGCTGTCTTTTCTGCACTTCTCTTGCAAGTTCAGTGCATGTTTTCCAGCTGGGATGTCGACAAGCATGCCACTTTGTAGGAAAGAGGTTCTGGTGCTACTACATACAAGCACATTCTGAGGACTATTGAACTCAGTAAAGTAAATGTCAGTCAGTACTTTTCTAAGTAGTATCACATTTTGATGCTTTCATTTATAGTATTTGCAGACATTTTATTCTGGAACATTTTTCTTCTGCATATATTAATGGCTGTGGATTTGAAGCCATGTTGTTTGCTTTATTTTTTTTGAAGGATTTCTTTAAAATTTCTTATCAACACTTGAATCCCTTTGCTGTTCTGGGATTTATTATTTTACAAGAAACACCTATTGTGTGACATTGTGTATTGGAAATATGAACTTAATGTCTGTGCTTTCTTCCTCTTTGATCAAATCTAGTCTACAAATATAATGGTTTAACTGATTTTTCTGACAATAACTTATATTTCACTCCTCTGATAAATGTGACATGGTTTAAAAGAAACTGTGTTTCTCTTTTTTATCCTCCTTCTCAGACTTTGAAAAATGGAGAATTTAATTTTTTTAATGAAATACTAAACAATATATTCAGTTTTATAAGCACATGCTAGTTTTAAATTATTGTGAGATAACCATAATTTTGACAAATTCATACCAGTCTTTCTTGCATCATTTCTTAACTTTTTCATTCCAGTTGTTTTGGTTTTATTCTGGTAATTTATTCCATAAAAGGTATCTTGTAGTCTATTCTTTGTGGTTTCAAATGTTCAAATAAGGATTAGTATTTTCCCTTGTGGAAGAATAATAATTTGTCCAAGTAAAGGATTTTAATGTATCTACATTACATCAGAATTCCAAAATATTCCCCTATGTATAGAACACGAGATACATGAAGCATTGCTGTTATCTCCTCTCTTTTTGTAAATAGAAATTACTGTATAAAATTTGGAAAGGTTTTTCTTCAAACATAGAATTCAGAAACAATGACAGGATATTTGGGTTAGTCCTTCTTCAGTAATTTTGATGATTTTTATGTGATCCCATTGAATAAAAAAAAGCAGAGGCTTTGGTTTGGATTTTGCTTTATTTCTTCCAAAGGATTTCTCTACCTCTGAAATCTTTGTGCATGGTAAATTTTTGGAATTAAATGGGTCCTGAGTAAATGTCAGTTGAATGGATATATGAAAATTAAGCAAGGGAGTTAGCTCAGTGGTGCAGCACCTACTCGAGAAGCATGAGGTCCTGAGGTC